CATTTGAGCCACAGCTCTACTTCTGGCTCTTTTGGGGGTAGTTATTAGAGATAAGAGTCTCATGGACTTTCCTACCTAGGCTGGCTTTGAACTTTGATCCTCCTATCTCAGTACTTTGAGTAGTTAGGAATACAGGTATGAGCCACGAGTGCTAGGTAAAATAACTGTTTTTTAAAAAGCCAAACTGTTAGAGATGGGTGGTATAACTCAGTGGTAGAGCTCTTGCTTAGCATATTCCAGAACCAAAGTATACTTTGACATATAGTTAACACTCGATAAATGATAAGATAAAAGAGTATGTAAGTAGGTCCTAAAGAAAATGATAAAATCTGTTCATGACTAAAGGTTTCATTTTATTATATCCCAGGGCTCTGAGGAAATTGCACTTAATCACAAAACAATCACAGTTGAGTTGTTCAAGAGAACAATGCCAGAGATTGTTGTCAAAGTTTCCAAACGTGAAATTTGTAGAACCTGAGTTCCATAGACTAAGACACTTGACTGTGGTACACAGAAAGATTCTGGAATAGCAAATGAAGCAGATGGTTTGTGATCATTTAGTAAAGACGGTAGTGGTTGCTAGGAGCTCACACGAGTTTACTAAGAACAAATCTTCTCAAACATCCCATTTCTCTTCTAAATAGTCTCATGTGGTATGCACAGCTGAGAAATGCCATTTCAGCAAAGCGTCTAATTGTTTCCTTATGGATAAGACAGTAAAATGTGGGCTGGATGAAACTGTCAGATTTGCAGCTAGACAGCATGTAAAGCCGGTGATCAGGGTGGGTTGCCTTGATGGGGAGTTCTGATGGGGTACTGTGGAGTTCTAACACATACCCTTCACATTTAAAATGCTTGGTTGTTTTTTCTGTTCACATTCAGGATTTTTATTTAACTTTTAATAGTCAGTTTACATACCTCCCTTACCCTTTCCTTTAAGGTAGCTTGACAATTTTCCATAATAAACTATTTTTTAAGGAAAAGCTTTGGTCAGCAATAGAATGAAATAGCGAAACAAAAAATACTGCTGCCTTTAAATCAACACTCTCACCCATCATATTCATATGCACATGTGCGCCGCACACACATGTGCAACAGTAGCTGTGTGATTTGTGTTTACAGCCTCTCCCTTAGCCAGTTGTCCTCAGCATCCTGGGATTGCTGAGTCTGTCTGCTTGTTTCCCATGCTACGTGGCTGAGACTCATTCAGCCTCTCAGTATCCGGAGGTCCTCAAGGGAGGACTCCAAGGTCCTGAAATCCCAGGCCCCCTAGGATTGTAGCTCCACTGGTGTCAGTAGTGCAACATTTCTCACCATTTGGCTTGTCCACCTTGTAGCCATTTGAGTGATGCTGTTCTGTGCGGCCTCTCGGGGGCAGTATGTGTGGTCATTGGTGGTGGCCTCACGTGTCCACCTTGGGAAAGTGTTCCATGGCTGGAGTGGTGCATTAAGTGATCTACTTTGGAATGTTCTACACAGTTTCAAGCTCCACACAGTGCTTCAGCTGAGCCTGATATCATTCATTTGCTCATTCATTCATTCAGCAGATGGATTGAATATGGTATCTGTCACTTTCATGACATAAGAGATATAGTAGTGATCAAAATGGGAAAACTCAACTGGAAGTGGTGACTTGTGCATATAGTTCCAGCTACTAGGAAGGGAGAGGTTTGGATGATTGAGGTTTAAGGACTGTCCAGTCAAAAAAATTTACAAGATCCCATCTTAACCAATACTGTAATACATGGGTGTGGTGCTGCACGCCTGCCTGTCATCTAGTCTTTGTGGGAAGTCATCCAGGCTGGCCCAGACATAAACATGGGACTCTTCAGATCACAACAGATACCAGCTGAAGGTCATGCCTGTAATCCTAGCTACTAAGGAGGCTGAGATCTGAGGATCATGGTTCAAAGCCAGCAAGAACAAGAAAGTCTGTGAGACTCTTATCTACAATTAGAACCACCAAAAAGCCAGAAATGGAGCTATGGCTCAGGTGGTAGAGTGCTAGCCTTGCACCAAAAGTAATTAAACTTCTTTTCATAAAAAACATTTAAGAGGCCATTGTAGGATTTATTTGAATATTTTCAAGCTTGCTTATTCACCCATTACTCCTCCCATATCAACCCTCATCTTTTTCCTCAGGTCTTCTCTGGAATTCTGACCTAACAGGACCACGGTGTTTTCTCTTACGTTAAAGGCAGTTCCACGGAGTATAGCATTTAATTCTTTTCTAATTGTTTCCTGGTCCTCTGGAAGATTTTTGAAGATGAAACTTTGTTTTATGTTTTACTGGACACATAGTAGACCTCAGTGAATGACTGCTTGATTTCCTTGACTCCAGGATACATTAGGAAGGTAGCATCCTTCTAGTAATTTTAGGACTGCTGTTTGGGATTGCCTTGCCATCTGCAATTCTTCTCTGCACTGCTCCAATGGATTAAAATCAATATCTAGTTATCACTTGTGTGAGGCCTGGCAGGTTGAATACACATTAGCTTCCCAATGCCATGGGTGTGTATGCCAGGGGGAGATGTGTGATCTTCCTATTTTCCAGGCCCTCATTTCGGCTAGGCAAATGCCTTGTACTCAGTGGCTTCTTTGTACATAATTGAATCTGCATTAACTACTAGATGACTGAACACTGGGGCTCAAGCAGCCTTCTCGGTTCAGCTTCCAAGGAGAGCTAGAACTGCAGGTGCCGGTATCCGGCGAGTGATTTAGGACCTAAAAGCATAGGGTATGCAGTGACACTTGAATTTTAGAGGAACAGCAATGCAGTATTTGGAACATACTTGTACTAAAAAAGTATTATTTATTCATCTAGAATTCAAATATATCCATATCTCCTGTATTTGGTGTAGCAACGTGCCATTGTAATTACTTTCAGTTTCCCATACAACTTTTAACTTCCAGATCAATTTGGATGAGTGGAAATTTTTTTGTCCATGAGATTGATATTCTTGGAAATTTTCCTTATGAAAAATAAAGGAAATCCACACAGTATGTGCTTTTCTGTGGTTATCTACTTTCAGATATTTTCAATAATAAAAAAAAAGAGTGTCACAAATATGTAAGATCTTGACAGTCTCTAAGCAAGCTCTCTTTGTTTCCTTGGTGGCAGAGTTTATTACTGATATTATTTGGCTCAGCTCATTCAGTAACCACTGCTGATGAATAGGTAAGTGCTCCGCATAGGAAACAGGCGATATGTGAATTTAGTGTAATTATTTCTGCTCATGCAAACAACTCCATTAACAAATAAGAGCTAGGGAAATCAAAGCAAAGCAGTGCTACTCGTAGTTAATTACCTTGTTCTCTTCTTTTTAACTCAAAGCCAAGATATTACTCTGTTCATTCCACCTTATCAATTTCTTTTTGAGAGTACAACATCTCCCACTTGGGGAAAACACCCTCATTTTCCCCAAGGAAATCCATAATGTTGCTTCTTGCTGTTGAATGGCAATGAGCTTTAAATATCACTCATGCATCGAGTAAATATTTATTAAGCAGGTCTGTGCTAGGCACAAAGGAGAAACAGAATGAATCATGTAATATCTGCTTTCAAGGGGCTCACAAGAACCTGCTTGTTCCAGACTTGTTTTTAAATCATTCGGCAGTGATAATCAACGAATGACTTTGGGAAAAGCTAATTAACTCATTGGGTAACCAAATGATTTTTCTCTCAAATGCATTATATAAGCATCGAATCTTAGGTTCTGAGCAGAAATTGCTCTTAATGGATAATTTCAGGGGCTACACATATGCTCTTTCCCTCCCCAGGGTTGCTTGAGTCAGAACTTTGCTATTCAGAGTGGTCCTCCACCAGCAGCCTGGGCATCCCTTGGGCACTGGTAAGAAATACAGGTGATCAGGCCCCAGCTAGCCCAGCCCCACTGATGAGAATCTGCCTTGTAACCTGATCCCCAGGCAATTCCTTTGCACACAAGTTGGAGGAGCACCTTCTAACACAGATTCTCTCAGGCATTCCTCTCTGCATACAGCTTATCTGAGGTCTTATGAAAACAGATTTCCAGCTGGGAGCAGTGGCTTAAGTCTGTAACCCTACCTATTTGGAAGATGGAGACCAAGGGATTGTGCTTTAAGACCAGCTGAGGCATTGGTTGAGACTGCATCTCAACCAATAGCTGGGCAAAATGGCATCCGTATCCCAGCTATGGGCTGGACAATAACTTGGAGCAGGGACATGTGTCTATCATCCCCAGTGTCATCCCAAAGTAAAATAGGATCACAGCCAGGGAAACACAAATAGGAGGATCACAGCCCAGGCTGGCCCCTACCTTGAACAAAATGAATGCAAAAAAAGGGGTGATGATGGTTAGAGGTATGGCATGAATAGTAGAGCTAGAAGAATGAGGTCCTAAGTTCAATTCCCATAACCACACCTGCCCTCCCCTGCCACCCACCCCCTGCAAAAAAAAAACCCTGACAGATTCCCGGGTTTCACCCTCAGAGATTCTGATTTTGTATAACCCTGTTGGGACCTGAGAGCGTGTATGTCTTCCATCTTTTCCAGGAGCAACTGAGGCCACCTGTGGAGATCCACACTGCAGTTTGCCTGGGAAATAGCCTATACTGGTCGTGCACATGACCACAAAAGTGTTCCCTTGAAGGCACAGGTCCTTGGATGCACACACAGATGAGTGTGGTGCTCACAGGTGGCTGTTCAGAAGAGTCTGTGGTGGCCGTTGGCAGATACAGAAGAGGAATCAATTAGCATCGGGCCCTGAAAGATGGCAGGATATTGAGAGGGTTTGTGACTCCCTGTTGCTAAATTATAGGCCATAGAGCCTTTGGAATGAAGAAGCCCAGAGATGAATTTGTATTGAGGTGTGAGTCTAGAAAAGGCTTGAGAACAAGACTGTGGAGAATCTTGAATCAAATTCTGTCCTGTCACTCCTTACTGCAGTGACATCTGTTTTGATGTCTCCAGATCTCATTGTACTGACCACCGTGTATGTGCTTTTTTTGCTCTTTTCCAGGATTAAGCATGAGAACATCGTGGCCCTGGAAGACATTTATGAAAGCCCCAATCACCTGTATTTGGTCATGCAGCTGTAAGTACCTCGATTAAATAACGAGCACCAAACAAACTTGTAAACTCCTGTTCTCAAATACAAGACTGCCACGGGCTGGGTAAGAGGGTAGTGCTAAGACTTGTGGGACACTGCAGAATTTGGGTCATATGGAGCCAGATATAGCAATGCATGCTTGTCACCCAGGGAGGCTGAGGCAGAAGGATCCTGAGTTGAAGGTTTAGCCTGGATTACATAGGAAGATGCTCTCTCAAAAACAACAAAAAAACAACCCTCCCCCCTCAAAAATATTACAGTGTGCATGGAGCAGTCTTCAGGCTTCTCTAGATCCAGTCCCCAGCTGCAGGGCTGGACTTGGAACCCTGGAACCCTGTGCTGTTCCTGCTGCCGTCTCCACAGCTTTCTCATAGGCAGGGTCCTGTGTTGCTGCTTGCACACACTTGGGTGGGCTCCCTGTGAAGGGCTTGCTCCTGCGAAGCTCATGCTCTTGTCTTCACTTGCAGAGACAAAGGGAGAGGAAGCAGGTGGCAGCTGTTCATTCTTCCCCTTCCCTTCTCATCCTCTTGCCAGATACATACCACATATGATTGATACAGAGGTCCATGGCAGATGTGAAAAAAAGAAAAGCCAGGTGCTATCCATGTGGGAGGAGTAGGTAGGAAGATTTCAGTCTCATGCTAACCTGGGCAAAAAGCATGAGACCCTAAAGCAAAAAGGGCTGGGGATGTGGTTCAAGTGGTAGAGTTCCAGCCTAGTAAGTACAAGGCCCTGAGTTCAAAGACCTCATAAAAGAAATAGAAGAGAGCATCCTAGCATCATTTGAGCCAGACAAGGACACTATCAGCCTCCTTAGGTTATCTCTGCATCCCAGTACACTGGAGAGTCCCAGGAGTGAGAGGAAATAAGGAAGCTCAGTATTCAGGTGAAAACTTTAGAACAGAGCTCACCTCCCACTTACCCTTAAGTTTTGTGATTCCTGAACCCCTCCAAGGTATGCATTTGCTAGAATTAAGCAATGAAAACTGCTGTGGAACGTGATTTAACCATGACCCAAGTAGATAAGTTCTAGGGTTTTTTTGTGAAAGATTGGAATATATAATTTTATTAATTATTTTCAATTTGAATTGCCAAAGTATACAGAAGAATTGATGGTTAGGCTAACAATTGATTGACTGATTGAGCCAGTCCTGGGACTTGAACTCAGGGCCTGTCCCTAAGCTTTTATTGCTCAAGACTAGTACTCTACCACTTGAACCATACTTCCACTTCTGGCTTTTTAGTGGATAATTGGAGATAAAGAGTCTCTTGGAGTTTGCTGACCCGGGAGGCTTTGAACTCAATCCTCATCTCTCAGCCTCCTAAATAGCTAAGATTACAGGTGTGAGCCACGGGCATTCTGCTGGCTAACAATTTGTTTTTCACGCATTTTCCCTTCCTTATGAATGCTGATAAAACATTAATTTAGGATGCTGTCAGGGTGCAAATAAGTACTCATGAATGCATTTAATCTTTCAGTACCTTCAAAAATACTTTATTACATTGTTTTATAAATAATTTTAAGAATGTTCAGTCTGGAAGCATCTGTCTGATTTTTTTTCTCTGAGACTGTCTATAAATTTAAGCCTTTAAAAAATGGTTTGGTTTAGTGTTAACTCTCCAGTGATCTAAGTGTAACCCTTCCTAAGACCTTACTCCTTTGTTTCCTTGAAGATTTGCCACATTTCTGATTTTTTTTCTTTCTTTTTTTTTTTTTTTTGTTGGTCGTGGGGCCTGAACTCTGGGCCTGGGTGCTGTCCCTCAGCTCTTCAGCTCAAGGCCAGTGCTCTACCACTTGAACCACAGCACTACTTCTGGCTTTTTCTGCTTATGTGGTACTGAGGAATTGAACGCAGGGCCTCATGCATGCAAGGCAAGCACTCTCCCACTAAGCCAACTTCCCAGCCCATATTTCTGATTTTTTTTTTTTTTTATCCCAGCAAGCAATAATCCTCATCAGATTTGGGTACCCTCCATGTTTGTCAACCATGTGGCCTTTAAAGATACAGGTGACACTTTGTCAAGTATGATTGTCTAATAAAAAGAATAGGACATTTTGGTGACAAGCAAACTCCCTGCCAAATGCCAACTGTGTATTTAATTATGAACTCATTTGTCGATGATACAAAATGTACTGATACTGGAATCCAAAGCTAGCTCTGTACATTCATCAACTTGAGGTTAGTGTGGACATGGAAATCTCAGCTCTGCTTCTTCCTAGGTGAGAGAAGTCAGGCAAAGTGACTGGGTTCTCTGAGTAGCAGTTCCTACAATGAGGGGTTATAACAGTCTTGATCTAAGAGGGCCAGGAGTATGTGGTGTGTGTGCAGATGTGAGTGCACTATGGCAAAGAGAAGGTGTTCCGTTCCACTCGGTGCTTTTTTATGGGTATTTTTATCATTGCTTATTGCTTACTGGCTGCTTGGGTATTGTCTTTGGAGAAATACTAAATTTTTAGCTTGAGTCATTTGCCTTTTATTATTCTGTTGTAAAATTTCTTCCATCTACTCTATATACAGAGCTTTTACCAGATACATGATTTACAAATATTTTCTCAATCTTTTATATCTCTTTTACTTGTGTGTGTGTGTGTGTGAGGGAGAGAGAGAGAGAGAGAGAAAGAGAGAGAGAGAGGAGAGAGTCACAGGGCTTGAACTCTGACCCTGAATGCTGTTCCTTTAGCTTTTCAGCTAAAGGAAAGCACTCCTCCACTTGAGCCACAGTGCCACTTCCAGTTTTCTGGTTGTTAGAGTCTCACAGACTTTCCTGCCTGGGCTGGCTTTGAACTGAGATCCTCAGATCTCAGCCTCCTGAGTAGTTAGGATTACAGGTGTGAGCCACCAGTGCCTGGCTTCTTTTACTTTTTTTTTGATCCTATAATTTTCAGCATAGAAGGTTCTAACTTTGATGTCTTTGTTTTTATTACTTTTTACAAGTACTTACTTTTGTTGCCATGTTCAAGTTTTGGTTTAATAAAGCTGAGCAGTTTTTGCTCCTGAGATTCCGTGTGTTTTCTAGTTTTGTTTGTTTGGGTTTTAGGTGTGGTTGAATGGAAAGTGGTTTTATTGTGTTCCTTTGGGGTTTGTTTACTTATTTGTATTTGCTTTGTTTGTGAAGAGCTTAGAAAGTCCTCGATATCTAAGCATGCAGGTGGCTTTTGAGCACAGCATTTTAGAGGACTGTATTTCACAGTATTTGTGCGGGATTTTGGTTTCCTAGGCTACATCATCTGAGCGCTGAAGCTCAGATATAGTCAAGGATGCTCTGTACCTGAGTTATATTATTTTTCTAATTGCTGTTTTGATTTGGAGTATTGTAGTGCATTTGTCCCTGTGGTGTTGCAGCAAAAGACTTGATTATTGATAGCGATCTATATTTAAATTTTATTTGGGGGTTTGGACAAATGTCTTTTCTGAGAAAATGATATTTAATTCAAACATTGTTCTTTAGATAGTAGGTCAATCTGACTTTGAGACAAATGACAGACGAAGTCAGTTTGTTTCTAGTTTTGTTTCTCATCTGACTTGGCTCATGGAAATCAGTCTGTGTCTTTGGAAACAGTAAGGGACCCCTCCTCCCTTAGCTTTTCTACCTTCTCATCTGCCGCAGCCTGGACCAAACAAATTAATAAACCAAGCTAACACTGTTCAAAGGATGTATTAGAAATAATTTCTTATATAAAAATAGATGATATTGGTATTGAATTCTCTCAAATATTCATTAAGTGTATACTTCCCGGATCTTATCTCCAGCCTAGAATATCCAACTGGCCATTCTGCTAGTCCACGTGGTTATACAACAACCACCACTCCCCTTATCAGCTCCAGAATAATCTAGAAGTTTCCACAACATCTGCCTTTCCTGATGACTAGCTCATCTTTGCAGCAACTCCCTACTACCAGTTGCTTAAGCTAAAAACCTGGGGTCAGCCCTCACTCATCCTCCTTGCTAACATATAACAATCCCCACCCACCCCCAGTACCCCACCAGCAATCCCAGGGGTCATCATACACAGAGAATCCAACCACGTCTCACACACACCCACCAGCCTCAGGGACCATCTTAGAGAAAACCTATCATCTTCTTTCAGACCTGCAACCCTGCCTGCTCTCTGCCATTGAGTTATTCAGATCTTGGCTCTCCTTCATTGAAAACTGCCAGTACCTAACACTGCTGCTCACATGGCCGTTAAACATTACCTCCAGAGGCCTCCAGGACTAAAATGAGACCAGCTCCATCTCAGGCAATCCAAGCTTGCACCACGTTGAAGCCTTTTCCCTCTTCTTGTCTCTGCCTACCCTACTGCCCCAGCATCAGCTCATCCCTATTCCCTGGCAAGCAGGGAATAGGGATTTCTGCCACATGCCACCTTTCCATGGACTTAGTCTCCCAGCCCCCTCTACCCCCCCCCCCCCCGCCCCTGTGTAAGATGGCAGCCAGCCCCCACTGGTCCAGGCCCTTCCAAGCTTTATTTCTCTCCCTGGCTCTTAACACAGCAGAGGCACCTCTGTCCTGCTGGCCGCTACAGTGCTTACCTGTGAGAGGCACTTATTTGTTCCATTAATATGATCACATAGAAAAGGAATAATGATTCACACATAATCTCTTTTCTCACTGAACCATTCCAAAGAACTTAAGAGCTTGTGTATCCCATTATTATCTCTTCCATGAAGAACCTGATCAGAGGTTGCGTCATGTGTTCAATCCAGCGAGAAACCAGCTGACGCTTGACCATCTACATTTTTCTAGGATGAAAAGGTTCTATTCCTGTGAGTAACTCACTTTGCCTGAAAAGCTTTATTATACTTCCATAAATATTTTAAAAACAGAAAAGGGAAGTTTACCCAATACTCTCACAGGAATTCACTGGAACTATTGCCTTCCATCCACAACAATCATTTCCTAAATCAATTTTTTTCAATAAAGGCATGCACACATTTTTCTTCCCAGTTTTGTGATGTGTTGCATGGGGCTTACTACAGAGA